TGTGAGTCCTGGGTGGTAGAGGTCCAGGAACAAATAATATAGATAACTCTTACGCTGTCAAGACAAAGTCCAACTCTGCTGGGACTTCTAGAAGGGTGTTGGTATATCCCCAGAGTATGATTCCCTACTCACAGGTCTTCGGGCAGCTCCACATTGGGAGCCATGAGGCTGGGCATGGGTATCCCCAAGAGCATGACTTACTGCCTACCCTGTTCAGTGTTTGGTCCTGCACATTCTGTTGTGCGTTGAGGGGTCAGTCTAGAAGAGACAGGCTTAATTTGCAGAGCCTTTCAAACACAAAGAACATGCAAAGAAAGGAAGAAGAAAAACAGAAGGTTGAGAAAGAAGGACATGGAGAGGAAGGAAGCAAGGGGTGAGTCATGTGTACTACTCCCGCTCTGGATCCTGCCTGGTGACATGCCCATCCTCTGATCTGGTTGAGTGCAGTTACCATCTCAGACTCCAAGTTTCCTCTGCTCTGAACATAAAGCAGCAATGACGTTATTATTTCATTTACTGTTGCATGTGGCTATTATTTGGGTAAGATAATGGATTTAAAGTTGCTTTCTAACTCAAAATGTGTGGAAGCCAAATTTTACCTTGATGTTTTTGGTTATCATTACAGCTGGTACTTACAGGAGATCTGGAGAACTAAAAGGCACGGTAAAAAAACAGGCTGAAAACAAAGATGCTGTTAATCAACAGGAAGCAGCTTCCTAGTGTTAACATACAGGTGTTCTCCATGAAAGAACCTGGGTTCTGGAACAGAGAAAAAAACCAGACAGTGGTGGAAACCAAGGCCCTGGAGTAAAGCTGGCTTAAAATCTGAGCTATTGGTGTGACTTCGGTACACTTATTTAGACTTAATAAGCTAGGTGAGGATAAAAATTGTGTTTGCTCCCTGGGTAATATATGAAGTCCATTCTTCAATAAGTAGTGCTGCTTGTTTGAGTGTTCCGCTCTGGACACTGTTCTAAGTGTGAGTATATGGATGGTATACAGGCACCAAGTACCCAACAGCAAAGGCAAGCAATAAAGAAACACATACACACTGCAGAATCAGGTAGTGGAATCATCAGGAAGGAAATAAAGTAAGAGCAAGCACTCAGTCCTGTGGTTGCAGGTCAGAATGGAATAGAGTGCTTGACACCATGGCAGGCTCACAAGAGGATTCGCGCCCCCCCCCACGAGGAAGCCACAGAAGCTGTCTTTTTTGGTGTCACTGAGATCACCAGAATCAACTCTCCACAGAACAGACACACAAATAGGAAGAGTCACTGTTGTGTTTAATTCCAAGCTAATAAGGCCTGGTTCTTGATTCAGAGTGCTCAGGTTAATAGGGTAAGGTGGCGAGGTCTCCTGCAGATCCACGTGTGAAGGACACGAGGCTGGCCACGTGTGCTCACCGCCTGCCCTTCTCAGCCCTCGATGCTGCACATTCTATTCCACCCCCTCTTTTCCCCTGTGCCACAGCCTACCTCAACACCCATCTGTCTCACCCAGCAGATGTGCAAATCGGGTCATGAGTTGCCATCAGCTGGGTGGAGTTGCAGGGATGACATCTGATGGTGAGATAGGCCAATCTCTGTCTGATGACCTAGTCCAGATCCCCCTTCTTGCCAAGCACTGGCTCTACTACTCCTTCCTTTCAGGGATACTTGTAATTACCAACCAAACCTCTGTCCTGTTTACAGAATCTTAGGAAGATAGTCCCTGTGATCTTTGAGGAAAATTCAGAGACTTAAAATCCAGTCAATTTAAGCTATTTAAGCCCTGAGTAACTGTCTCACCAGAAATCACTCATTTTACAGAAAAAGAAACTTAGGTCCAAGGATATGATTTATTCAGTGTTACAAAAGGAATCTGTGAAAGAGTTGGGATAAGAATAGAGGTGAAAGAGGCTGGGAAGTAACCTTGCAGTGTTAAATGATGCATCTTCAGAACTTTACAAGGAATACCTTCTCACCGCATTTTACTACATAACAAAGGACTTCATGGTTTTTTTTTTCTTCAATTCATGTTAATGCTTTCATCCAACTAACACACAGCAGGCCTTTCCTGAAGATGTGGGTTATGGAAAGTATTTATGTTCTATTCCTTCTTGTGTCTTCATGGGGGCTGGGAACTTTACTCTCAAACTGAAAATAACTTCCTTGGATAGAGGATAACACATGTAATTCATGCACTTTTCTGAAAGCATGGTACATTTCAGTGTAAAACTTGAGAAAATTTTAGAGACTGTAACGAAGGAGGTGGGAGAGAAGAAAGAGATCTTAAAGTGTGATATAGGAGACCATATGGTGGCTCATCCTTATGATGTCAGAACTCAGAAAGCAGGGGCTGGAGGAACACCGGCCTGCCAGAACTGCATATGGAAAACTTGCTAATAGCAAGGACTTAGAGTAGCCGGTTATGGTGGCCAATGCCAGTAGGATTTGCTAAAGGAAGCAGAGACAAGCGGATTTCCACAGAGAAACCCTGTCTCAGAAAAAAGAAACAAAAGAAAGTCCAAGCAGCTTTGTAACTAATACAAGTCTCTCTGTGTATTCATTTGGGCCTAACGCGGGCTGGCGGCTGGCGTAAAGCTCGCACGTGGGGGGGGGGCTCAGGCGGCTTTTGACAGAAAGATTTATAGTAACAAGGACTCAGTTGGATAACTTGACTGGATATACATGGAATATTAGAAGACAACAGTTAGCAGGATACAATTAGATGCACTATCCTAAGTAACAATTATCATTTACTATATTCAGACAGTATAACCATGGAATTTAAAGGAAAAATAAATGGATCTAGAAAGCTTAATATTAAGTGAGGTGTGTCGAATTCAGAAAAATCCATATATTTTCTCTCATATATAGAACATAGCTTGTAATGGATAGATGGATGGATAGATGGGTGAAGGGATTGATAGATAGTAATGTAAATGTGGGTAAAGCCTAAACACCAGAAAAGAGGGTACCAGAGCCGTGGCCCAGTGGTTAAAAGCACTTGCCGTTCTTGCGGAGGACCCAGATTTGGTTCCAAGCAACCACATAATAGCAGCTCACAACCATCCTTAACTCCAGTTCCAGAGATATTTTTTAAGACAGTAGGTCATATAGAACAAATACTGTTACCTCGCATAAGAAAGGGAAAATAGGGGTTTGAGAGATGGCTCAAGAGGGGTTTGCAGAGCACTTGTGTTCAGATTCTTGCACCCACATGGTGACTCACAACTGTCTGTAATTCCAGTTCCAGGAGGTCCAATTCCTTCTTTTGGCTTCTGTGGGCACTATACACACATGTTGTATATAAACTCACCCAGGTACACATACATACATTTAAATTAAAAGCTAGTAAGAAAAAGGAAAATACCAGAAGTATTGCTGATGCTAGCTAAGTTAAGTAACTGTTAAACAACCAATACAAAAAAGCATCTCACGCTTAACTGCAGAGTTAGCAGCACTCCATCTTCCTGTGGTGCAGGTACCGCTTGATGGTGCATGAAGAACATAAGATCCTGGCCAAGGCTACTCCTAGCTTCGAGAGAGGCATCCAGTGACCGGGATGCAGGCTGAGTGGGGCTGTATGGAGCGATGCCATATGGTTTAAGAAGCTGTGGGTCATAATTCACCAAATAAAATATATTGCCTCCTATATGCCAGGCCTGTGTGGTTCTTACAGTCCAGGCAATGGTGTAGAGGATAACCTAGAAGCCCTTCCCCTAAAATGAGATTGATGACTTCTCTTTTAAAAAATAATAATAATAAACAGTTACTTTCAATTATTTTCAGATCAGGAATAAAAGTTAACTTGCTTAAAAAAAAAAAAAAGAAGTTACCCTTGGTGTTTTGTATGTATTTGTCTGTCTCTCTGTGTGTGTGTGTGTGTGTGTGTGTGTGTGTGTGTACAAGTTTGCTTGTGGATAGGTTTGGAAGCCAGAATTCAGCCTCAGATGTCCCTTTAGAGTGCCATCAACCTTGGCTGTCTTTATTGTTTGTTTCTTGGGTTTGTTTGTTGTTGTTTGGAAAGGGTCTCTCACTTACTGGCCTGGGACTCACTGAGTATGCTAAGCTGGCTGACCTTTCCATTACTAGATTACCATGCAGCATTCATGCCAACATGCCAAACCATTTTTTTATGTGGGTTCTGGAGATTGGCCTCCTTTTGTATAAGAAGCATTTTACCAACTGAGCTATCTCTCCAGGAACCGCCACCATTCATGTGTTTTCCAGGCATACATTTTAGAATCTTTGGCCCTAAAAGTCATTCAAAATCATCTGTAACTGAGTGCTAATCACAATGGGACCCTGGCCGCAGAAGTAGGATGCTTATCACACAAAGTTCTTCTTCCTCTTGGAGACCTTTCTTACTGTCAGGGCTGACCTGAATACCTAGTAAACGAGAAAATGTTAATGCACAAAGCCCACCAGTATCAAACCACTTTCACAGTAGCAGTACCATCCTACAACGCTCCTGAGATTGATTATAAAAGCTCTCCAGCATCTAAAGAGAAACTCAAATGTTTCATAACAACAGCTACGACCACAGCCACACCCCATTGAGGGCCTATGACCAAATCCCTGCAGATTAACCAGAAGAAAGGAAAAAAGCAGACCTCAAACCCAAGGTCTAGAGACTCACTCCCTAACTCCAACGAAGCTGTTCACAGACTTCTAGAATGTGTTTGGATCCCAGATTGAGAGTTCATCAGCTTAATTTACTTGTGTTGTCCTTTTAGAACTCTCATCTACTAGCTAAAAACAAAGAGCAAGAAGAGACACGAAGGTCTCTAAAGAGAAACATGAACACCAAGCCAAGAAGTCAACAGGAGCCACCATGCTTGCATTTGAAGCTTTATTCATGCCACAGTTTGTGGGGTTATGCTAACTCTGGCAGGATGCCTTGATAAAGGGGCAAAGTAAGGAGGACCAGGGAAGCTAATAAAGACAGGGGACGGGTGTGCTCAGAAGATACAGCAGGAGGTAAATTTTGGAAGCAGGATTGTCCTTTTGTATTTAACAGCAGCAGTCATCCCCACTGTCACAGCATGCAGGACCGCGTGACCTCATGGGAATAATTCCCAGACAGCAGCACCCAGAGCCACAGCCACAGCCTCCGCAGCCTCCAGAGCCGCAGCCTCCACAGCCTCCAGAGCCGCAACCTCCAGAGCCGCAGCCTCCAGAGCCGCAGCATCCAGAGTCCTCGCAGCAACTAGAAGATCCGGTGTTCCATCCTTGGGGCCGCTGGACCCAGCGTCTCAGAGGACTCACCCCAAAGGTACGGGGAGCCAAACAGCAGTAGCTCATGGAACAGGGAGCAGAGCATGGGTCAGGGACACCACCCTGAGAACCTGAGCCACTTGAAGAAGCCTGAGTGTAGTAGGTCTGGGTAGGAACTGCATACTGGACATAATATGTCTGAGTCTGACACGGAGCTGGACATTTGACACAGGTCGTCTGACACGGAGCTGGGCACTTCACATAGGTCGTCTGACACGGAGCGGGGCATTTCACATATGTCTGACATGGAGCTGGGCATTTCACGTAGGTTTTGGTCTGGCATGGAACTTGATACTTCACATAAGCTGGAGCAGGAACCGGAGCTGAGTACCTCACGATGGTTTGAGGCTGATAAAGAGCAGGTCCTGGAGCATAAACAGTTTGGACCGGGCCTGAAACTTGGCCTGAAGCCTGGCCTGAAACCTGGCCTGAAACCAGGCCTGAAACCTGACCTGAAACTTGGCCTTTCCCCAAGGTACCACTGCTACCTTGCCCAGCTCCAAGTCCCGAACCTTTCACACAAGATGGAAGGAACTGTGGCTGCTTCTGCTGGTCACACATCCTGCTGTGGTTCTAAAAATGCTGAAAAGAAAAGAGTCATCAAAACTTTAAGACTAGAAAGATTTCCAGAAAAATCTTGGGTGTATCCACCTGGGAGGGTGATCTGAAAAAGGTCCCTTCCAGGGGGTTAGCACTCAGGGCCGTAAGTAAGTGTAAGCAGTAAGCAGTAAGTAAGGTGGGCGCAGTAAGGTGGGTGCAGAGTCAAGGATTCTAAACTCACTTCTTGCACCTTTAACTGGCTGTGTGACTCCTGAGACTATTTCCACACTAGGAAATAGAAGGCTTGAAACAGCAACTACATTTGTACCAGACTTTACATGTTTCCCTCTTTCCTTCAGCGTCAGCATTGTGGATCAGCCTTCCATTACTCTTCAGTTTAACCTCCATCACTGCTTCCCTTAGTGGTGGTATCCCTTCTTATCCCTTCTCATTCTTCCAATCCAGGAGTGCTCAGGGAGGGCAGATGTATGTGCCTGAGCTAACCTGACTCTTAAACTGAACCCGACAGAGCAAGACTCAGGCTCAATACAAAGTAAGTCTCTACCATTTGCCATTGGAGCACTTGTGTAGAACTCAGAAGAGACTGCACAAATATCCCCAGAGAAACCCTGCCCACATAGAATTGCTCTGTCCCCTCTCTAGACCGAGTCTCAACTTCCTACTACCAATGGCATCATCCTTCTTCATAGATGTTCTCAGTGTCTAGTCCTGGATCATTCTTTATCCCGTAGTACTCCACCCCAACTCCACCTTGACTCTTATTTCTTGCCAAGTAGCTATCTCAGATAATAAGACTTACCTTCCTTCCTGGCAGGAGCAACACTGGAAGAAGCCAAGACTCTGAGGAACTGGCCTTTGGTGAGACTTTTTATAGGGTGGCAATGAAGCAATTTGATGCCATTTAAATGAAGCACCTGAGATCACGAGGACAAGGGCTGGTGTTGCATTGGTGAGATTCCTCCCCAGTATGTCTGGCTGTTCAGTCAGAGGCAGAGCATGTCTCTACTTGACATTGAATTTTCCTAAATATGAGATAAATGGCCACCTTCTTCATGAAACAAGCCTCTTGCTTTTCCTAGAAGTCATGAGTCATTCCTGTACAAGCTTACCCTAATGGTAGAGCCGTTGAGTTGAGACTCTCAGTATTCATACACTGGGCCAAAAACTACTCTATATCCTTCCAACCTGACATTTAAATTCCTTCTGGGGACTTTGGTAGTGGTTTCTTCTGGTCTGAGTTGTCAGGGAAAGACTTTGCCATGGTAGTCCATGGCTCAGTATACCAGGAAGGTCACCAAGAACTTATTTATTCCATGAACCATAGATTATTCTAAGTTAATTCAGGAACTGGATGGGTGCTGTATGATCTCAAACCCCAGGGTTTAGGTCTGCATTGGTGCATCTCAACTTCTCCTATTCCCATGGCCTTCCTTCAACTTATCTTCCTAGGCCTCACTTTCAGGAATAGAGTCCAGGAATAGATTCCTAGGATTAGAGGAATTCCAAACAAATGAATGTGAGTGATGACAATGATAAACACTATCATTTAGTTAAGTGTTTCTATGTGCCAAAAAAGTTTATGAGGCAGATGCGTGCAACGGAGGCCTGAAGCACAGTGGGGGGGGGGGGGGGAGGGGGCCGAGAGAGGGGGGGGGGGGGGGGGTATGAAGCATCCAAAAGGAGTAAGTGGGCAAGCCAGAATTCAAGTGCAGCCAGTCTGCAGTCATAGGCATGATTTTTATCCCTACCAGCGAGTGGCTTTCATGATTGAATTATCCTTGAACACCAGCCACATTTCCTTTCCTCAATACAGTAGATGCGGAAAGAAAGACAGGAATAATACATATCAAGCACTATTGAATCCTTCCCCAGTCTGTGTCTGTGCTTAGTCTTCATCATAACTCTGTGAGATAGGCTATATATGAAAATAAGACTTAAGGGTCCAAATATCTCACCATAGTCACCATTATCTGTGGGTAACAGAGCACCATCAGAGCGCAGACCCATCCAGCTCCATATCCCATGTCCTTTCCTCTGATCCTTGAGGATAGTGGGCAACAGCTGCTACAGGAGGCTATCAAGCCTGTGCCTGGATTTGGTTTCAAATGCCAACTCTTCAGATCACAGAGTCACAATGTCACTGTGGTCTCTCAGGTGGAAGGCAGTTCTAAATTGGCTTCAAATAGATCCTCAGTTCCCCAGGATACATTCCCCAGAATCCACAAACTCATTTCTTAAAGAAAATCAAAGTGCCACTAGTTCACTGACCCTATCACATCCCACTCATGTCTTAGAAGGTCTGCTCCTGAACAATTTGGGGGAAACACGAGGGACAGATTCTGCCTCAGGTTTGGAAAGTGTCCTGGCTCTTCTCAGCTTCTGTTAATCCCATATAGACTTGTCATACTGTGTGTGAAGCCCACTGTCTGTCAGGGAGAAAAAAATAAAAGGGAATATTGGCCCTGGCCATTATAGTCCTCAGTCATAGCCTATGCCTGATGTTTCATGGAAAGGAGAAAGAAATTATGTCTTAGGAGGTAGGGAGGTGTCAAACTCATCACATAAATAACTTGTCAGTTTAGTCTTTGTAATAATGGCTCAAATAAAAGAGGACACGAATTGACAACTGTGAAAAATCACTTAGTCAAAAACTAATAGAGCTATAATTTAAAACTGGCATGAGATACCTCAGAGTCTATAATTTCTCCTCAACATGCTGCTTCTGGTTGGCCTCTACCTGTTTCAGTTGTGCAGCCCTCTATATTGTAGATAGCGAAAAAGTCCAGCTCGAGCGGGGTTCTGGAAAGGTGTGGAGTTGGTGAGAATGAAGACATTGACCACCAGTTGCCATTAAAGCAAGTGGTGCCAAACAGCTCATGCCATCTTTGTTTATACTAAAGCATCCAAGCATGATCAGTTTGAATTCATTTTTCCTTAATCCTTATCCAAGAATCATGACATTTACCCATTTTAGATTATTTTCCTCTCCCCCACTCCCTTATTGTCATTAGTTAACCTTTACCACATATCTAAGCATGAATTAACCTTTACCTAAGCATGAATAAACTGACCTTTACCTCATATTTAAGCCTGAATTTTATATTGCAAGCCAGATGATTATATCTAGCCAGGCACATCCTATTTGTCTTGTGCCCCGGCTTCCAGCAAACATGTCATTACAAAAATGAAAGATATTCAAGCCCTTAGTTAGTCTTTAACAGTGTTGTGTTTTGACATTTTTGCAGTCAGCAGTGGGTCTGATATCCTACCTAGAATAGTATTTTCCAGGTGTAGGTCTTAATAATTTCTAAATGGTCTACATATCACTTTTATATGAACAGTGGTTTTATGATATGTTCTTTATTATACATCCCCAGAGTGGTAATGATGGATAACTAACTCATAACTGTTGGTACCAAGTTTCTATTCTTCCTGGCAGTTTCTACATGTCCTTTTACTTCCAAGGGAACTGGGAGTTTTAACCAAAGAAAGATATCTAACCATTTATGTCCTGGCACCAGAGAAATGTCTGACTTTCATGCCCTTTATCTTTTCCTTATATGTTCCCATAAGTTTTTGATACCATCTCTTAAGAAGCCATATCCTAAATTCTTGGCATGTAGTTACTGCTCTATAGTTAAGTAAGCAAGAATCATTAACCTTAGTGACCTCCTCCTGCTTGCTCAGGGTGACTGCAGAGGCAGTCAGGGTTACTTGGGGGAACCAGTTTCTGTGTCTCAAGGAAAAAAACCTGGGGTCATTATTAATAAACTGCAAAGAGGGCTTAATTCCCCTGTAGAAAATTTAGAAAATTAATAAAGACTCATCCAAGGGGCTCTTGTTCCCAGTAAACTCAGCCACAATCATGACTGATAAAGTGAAACTAAAAATTACCATAAAAGTAAACACAGAGAAAACCAGGAGGGCCTGAAGCATGAGCTGGGGTCCCCAGTATCATTTTTCCACAGGTTCTTACCAAGTGGGTGGTAATCTCCAAAGGCCTTGCCACTGGGAGCTCCATCGGCAAAACACCCCTGTGCCCATTCTGGAGGTAATAGCATGGTTTTGGCCAATGTAGCATTATTCACAGCAATGCTGTGATTTAGAAGACCACCAGTTTCAGAACATGACCACAAAAATAAAAGGACAGAAGGTTTTCAGGACATAAATGAAGAGAACTGACCTCTTGTCCTACAATTCTTCAGCACCTCAGGCTTTTCTAGACTATGATTATAATGGTTTGTTCTACTTACAAATGTATGCTTCCATAGCCTAGCTGTCCATGGGGTTGTTTGCACTAGTTTGTAATTCTCAGGAGTTAGTAAGTATGGTTGATCACCACATCTCATCTTAGGACCTGGGAAATATTAACCAAACAAGAGAAATGAATCAGTGAAGGAGTGGGTATTTGTTATAATGAAGGCACAGACCACATTAATTTCCTCCTGTGGTTAAAGTGATCCTGCTCTGCCGTTAGCCAATCTGTGTGTCTCATGCCAGCTGTGAGCTCTGATTGGCTCACTTCCTGCTCTGTGGGGTGAGGTTCTCACTAATGGTTTTGACATCTTCAAGTAACACCAACATCACTGGTGAGAGATACTATATCCATGTGCCATGCAGACAGGTGGGTGGGCTGTGTTCCACCCACTTTGTAGGCTGGAAGGCAGAGCTGGAGGAGTCAGAAGATAGGTACCAGTGTCAAGGTGAGTCATGAGGATATCCCAAGAAGTTTCCAGAGACTGCCCATTGATCCCTTTGGCAGTTCCTAGGATCGGATCGTGGACTTGTAGGTTTCTGCAATAACAGTCCAGTGGACTCACACGAGAGTAAGTAGATAGAATCATCTCTGAGATGGAGGGACCTGAAACAGGTAATTGGCTCTGCTCAATGTAAAATGTACTAGTAGGTTTTAAAAGCTCTTTGAAATCTCTTGGTCAGCATGATTCATAATTTCCCAGCTGAATAGTTGAGAGCTACATGTTAGATTACCAATTCATCTT